GGGAGGGAAATGAGGATGCCCCAGTTGTCAAAGAAAGCAATTGGGATATTTTGGCAAAGAGTCTGGCTGGAGTCTCCCCATGGCCAAAAAGCTTGCCTGAGGCTAAGTTGAAAAGCAATGGGCTAATTTTTCTGGTGGAAGAAATTTCAAGACAGCTTATTGTAAAAATGGTGGTGTGGCTATTAATGGTAAATATTATGCAGACCTACAATGAAAAAGAGCAAATGGGGCAGAAAGAAATACAGAATGTACAGTTTGGATTGAAAAAGAGCACTAGGAAGATAAATATTGGAGCCCTGGCATGTGCTGGAGAGGATCCCTTTGATAAAGAGATTAAAGTGATTAAGGAGAGGCCTAGAGATTTGTACTTAAACAATGGAGAGAATGCTTATTTCCCTCTGGAACTGCATTGTTCTCAGAACTACTTTCTTCCTGGCACCTACTAGAATAACCTGTTAAGCTCTGCTTAAAGCAATCAAATTCTTTTCTAGCCCAAACTTCCAAAGCCTTCTACATTCTTCCAAAACCCCACATGGTCAGGTTCTTCCCAGCCAACAGCCCACTCTCTGGTACCAATTACTGTATTAGTTACTTTTCTGTTGCTGCGATAGAAGCATTAACCAAAGCAATTTATAAAAGGAAGAGTATATTTGAGCTCAGGGGTACAGGGGAATTATGGTCTGTCTTGGTGGGGAGGCATAAGAGCAGAGGTGGCTGGAGGAGGAGCAGAAGCTAAGTTCTCAGATCTTCAAGCAGGTGCAGGAACCAAGAGGGTGACTGGAGATCCCAAAAGGCTTTAGAACACTCTAAACCTGCCCCCAGTGACCTGTTTCCTCCAGCATGTACACACCTTCTAAGATCCCCCAAAACAGTGTCACCAACTGAGAACAAAATGTCCAAATACTTGAAACCTACAGGAGACATTCTCATTCAAACCATCACACTTGATTTTATGTTTGTCTTTAATTTTTCATATATTCTGGACATTAATCACCTACTGGCTCTCTTTTCATTTTGTTTATTACCTCTTTTGTTGAACAGCAACTATTTTTTAAAATCTTATTTATTACTTTTATTTTATATGCATGTGTATTGCCTGCATGTAGGTAAGTGCACCCATGTTGTACAATGCCTGCAGAGGTCAAATGAGGCTGTTGGATCCCCTGGAACTGGAGTTATGGACAGTTGTTAGCTGCTATGTGGGTGCTGGGATTCAAACCCAGGTCTTCTGCAAGAGCAATCAATGTTCTTAATTGATAAGCCATCTCTACAGCCCCAAGCAGTAACTTTTTAATTTTATTAGATCTCATTTTTCAATTCTTATATTTCCTGAGTTATAATAATGCAATTCAAAAGTCATTACCTATGGCCTATTCTACATCTTTAAGTGCATTGCTTATGTTTTCTTATAGGAGTTTGTTGTTTTACACTATTCCTGGAAAGATTGGGAAAAATGTCTACTCACTCAGATAGGGAACAAATGGATGACAGATCAAAGTAAGGATCCTCAAAAGTGCAACTTTGTGAATCAATGAGTTTTATTGGGGTTACTTAAAAGAGGAGGATTTCTTTCAGAAAATAGAAATTATTCAAAGGATGCTGTATCACCAAAAGTCCACCCCAGCATGAGTTAAACTCATGAAAATTGGAAACTTGGAATGCACTGTACAACTTGGAGGCATCTCAACAGTTTTGAGAGTGTCTTTTCCAGGTATCTCATTTGGTCTCTGATTCTTCTAGGCAACTCTACTGGTCTTTGTGTATTCCAGGGAGATCAGCTGGTCTCTGTTTCTTCCAGGCAGCTCAGTTGGTCTGAAAAAGTATCTCTCAGCAGTCCTTACAGTTTAAATATGCTTGAGGAGGGAGGAGCCTTCTCAGTCTGGTCAGGTTCAGGGACTTCCTGAAGCCATTGAGCCATGTACTTCCTAAGCTTAAAGCTTCCCTGCAGAACAGCATGTTTCACCTTCCTTTAGATGCCATTGTGTCTCAAGGAGCTTCCCTCCTAGATGGAAGGTTTTATCCCTAAGGAAACTGCTACACAACAGAGTTTCAAAGTCTTGGCTCTTGTGTTAATATTTTGGATCTCTTTTGTTGTGATTTGGGTATAAAGATGAGAGATTGGTATCTAGCTCCAGTCTTTACAAGTGGATACCTGTACCTATTTTGAAAAGGCCCCGTATTTTCTCCAGTGTATGTTTTGGTATCTTTGTTGAGAATCAGGTGTCTGTAGCTGTATAGTGGTTTGCTTCTGGGCCCTCTATTCCAAACCATTGTTCTCCATGTGCTTTTTGTGTCCCAGAGCCATGCTGATTTTGTCACCATGGCTCTGTAGAATAATGCAAAATTATGTATTTTTGAAATCTCAAACAATGTTCTTTCAGGATTGTCATGGCTATTTGAGGTATTTTAAGCATCCATATGAATTAAGATTTTCTGTCTTTATTAATAATATTAGAATTTTCATGGGGATTTCATTGAATCTATCACTTAATTTTGGTAATATGTCATTCTTGCAATAGTAACCCATGGGTATGGGGGTGCTTTCCATTTTCTAGTGTCTTCTTAATTTGTATTTTCTCTGATTTTTTCCAGATTTTATTATAGTGGTTTCTTACCTCTATAGTTAAATTTATTCCCAGGAACTTAGTTGTTATTGAGGTTATTGTGAATAGAATTGTTTCCCTGATTTATGTCTTAAAATGAGTTCATAATTGGCATATTCAAAAACTGCTTATTATATGTTGATTTTGTATCTCACTTGCTGAGTTTGTTCTTAGGTTAGGTTAATGTTTGATACATGGGAATGGAGAAACGGCTCAACAATTAAGAGCACTGGCTGCTCTTAAAGAGGAACTGATTTTGGTTCCCAGCACCCTAATGGTGGCTAACAACAGACCATAACTCCAGTTCTGGGGAATCTGATGCCCTCTTCTGACTTCTGTAGGCATGTCACAACACAGGTGCATATACATACAAGTAGGCAATGCACTCATACACATAAAACAAAAATAATAACTAAAATATATTTTTTAAAGTGTTTGAAATAGTTTTTAGTGTCTTCAAGTATAAAACCATATGATCTATAGGGATAATTAGACTCCTTCCTTAGTTGTTTCCCTTTCATTTCTTTCTCTTGTCCTATTGCTCTGGATAGATACACAAGTACAATATTTAATAAATGTGTTGAAAGTGGACATCTTTGGTGCATTACTGGTTTTAGAGAAAATGCTTTCCATTTTCCATTTTTCTACATTCAGTATAATACTGGATATGCATTGGTTACATGCAGCAATTATTTTATTAATCCTTGGTATGGTATGATTCTTGATCCTACTTATGAGCTGCATTAAAATTATTCCTTTGCAAATGTTGAACTATCATTTTTTGTTTGATTTGTGAGCATTTTATTAAGGAATTTGTACCTATGTTGATGAAGTATATTAGTTTACATGTCTCTTTTTTGCTGTATCTTTGCCTGGTTTGATATCAGGATAATATATGCTTACTAAGAATGAGTATGGAAACATAGGTCCCCTTTCCAATTTTTTAAATATTCTGAGGAACATTGGCATTAGTTCTTTAAGGAAGTTACTCTATTCTGGTCCTGGGTCTTTTTTAGTTGATAAATGTTTTATTCTAAATCTCAGTATTTGTTATTGATCTGTTCATAGTTTTCATATCCTCCTGATTTAATTATAGTAGTTAATTGTTTTTAAAATTTTAATTCAATATTATATGTGTTCAAAATAAACCCTAATGGTACCCTGAACTTCAATGTCATCTGTTTGAAAATATCCATTTTAATCTCTAATTATTAAATTGGGTCTTCTCTAGGTTTCTTTTTCTTTTTAATAATTTGTCAATATCTTTAATATTTATAAAGAATCCACTCTCATTAATTCCTTGTGCTAGTCTTGTATACTCTATTTCATTAATTGCATACCTGAGTTTGTGATTTCTTTACTTCTTCTGGTTTAGCTTTGGCTAGTGTTTCTTTTTCTAAGACACTAAGATGTTTAATTTATAGCTTATTTGAGATTTCTCTGAGTTATTAAATGAAAGCATTCATACAGTTATAAACTTGGTCTTAGAAATGCCTTCTCTCTCTCTCTTCCTTTTGTAACAGAATGTGCTTGTTTTGCCTTAGTTTTCAGAGAAAAAAATATTTCTAGAACTAGACCCTTGTGTTAACAGCTATTCCTCCCTGTTTGGCACTCTGAACATGTTGTTTCCTTGATTTGATTTTTATTAACCTGTTTCTGATGAAAGGTTGGTGGGAATTCATCTTATTCCTTTGTCCATTGACATACCGTTGTCCTTTGTTTCCAAGATTTTTTTTTTTTCATTGCTCTTAGCAAATTGGGATGATGTACTTGGGCATAGTTTTCTTGATCTAGGTTCACTGAGCTTTTTGGATCCTTTAGCTTATTTTAAGAAAGTTTGTGGGCAACAAGAGGAAAGAACCAATACCCACAAGTTGTCCTTTGACCTCCACATGTGTACCATGGCACAGGGGCTGGGACACACACATACACACACACACACACACACACACACACACACACACACACACACTTCGGTTTTGAAAGAAATTTAATGAAAAGGAAGGAAGGAAAGGAGGGAGGAAGGAAAGAACCTCAGTGATAGAGATCTGGCCCAGTCTTCAGCACTTAAAAACCAAAACCAACCAAACAATAAAAACCAGGACCAAAGTGTAGATTCACTTCACTATACACAGCTCTGTCAGGCCTAGTGTCTTAGAGTGGCAGGAGAGCTGCCTGGCATGTATTCAGAGGCAAAGAAATGTTGGGTGCTGCTGTTAATCATATTTCCCAGGAAGACAGCAGTCACTGGTGAAAGCTTGTTTACAGAACAGGAGCTCAAATGCCCATGATGTTCTTTGGGATGCATGCCAATAACAAACCCCAGAGGCGCAGAGGCGCCCTAGAAACGACTTTCTGTATCAACAACCGCTCTGAGTCAGCCCTTTTAAACCACGTTCTGTGTGGGTTCTCTGGGGAACCCATCTCCTGGCACTCAGAAGGGCATAGCACCAGCAGCTGTAAAGCACTTGGGAGAAGGGGCTCTTTGAAACACACTAGGACCGGGCCGGAGAGGTCAGGCCTCAAGGAGACTGGGTACAAGCACTGAGGGGCGCGGCAGGAAGTGCTGCGGTTGCCCCGGGAGGAACAGAGCTGCGGGAACTGGGAGAACCTGCCAAGAAGCCTGCAGAGAGGTCTAGCCTGGATCTGGAGGGGACGGGTGAGCTGAGCAAAGCAGACGGCCCAGGGCCCTGAAGGGGTGGGGAGGGACGGAGAGGGGCGTGGTCTGGAAGGAAAAGGAAGAAACGTAGCCCAGGAGCCGAAGTGGGTGCACTGGTCCTTGACACTGACCGGGCACTGTTCAAACCCCTCAGCACGGAGGAGTTTTTGTGTGTCCAGCCATGCTGGCAGTCCTGGGCTGCCTGGTTTCCGCGCTCTGGGCAGGACTCCATCTCCGGACTCTGCTGCTGGCTGCCATCACCTTCTTGTTCCTTGCTGACTTTCTCAAAAGCCGGCGCCCAAAGAGCTACCCTCCAGGACCCCGGCGCCTGCCTTTCGTGGGAAACTTGTTCCAGTTGGACTTTGAGCAGTCTCACCTTTCCATTCAACAGGTAGGAAGGGGAGAGGGTCCTGTGTCCTGACTTTAATCCTGAGCTGCCGGCCTTAGGCTGAAGGACTAGGCTCCAAGGCTGATGCTGGCAACCTGCTAACGCCACAGTGTGATTCCCTTATGGTCAGAGAACATACTGTGTATAATTTTAATCTTTTAAATATGTCAAAGTGGCTTTGATGACATAAAGTGTATTTTGAAATATACCCTGCCACTTTAAGAAATGTGTATAAATCAGGTACCCAATCTTAGTTAAAGTGTCTGACCAATAAAAAATGTGTGCTCTAGTCTTTTGGATTTGAGTTTTCTATAACTATCAGTTCTCTCTTTCTGTGCTTTTTTGGATACACATCCTTGCTGACTGCTCAACTGCTGACTTTATCAATTACTGAGAAAGACACACGGAAGTTTCCAAGTCCACTGGAGATTGTCTGTCCATCAGTTCTGGCCGCTGTCCCTCCGTGTATTGGAAAGCCGGTGGTGTGTACATAGTATATGTTTAAGACTGGCAGATCTTTTTGCTGAATTGATCATCATACCATGTAATGTCACCCTTATCCATAGTGATTTTCTTTGCCTGAACTTTATCCGACATAATATAGCCATGGGAGCTCTTCTTTGGTTAGTATATGAAAGGCGTGTAATGTAGTTATTTTATTTGTAGTCTACTTTTATCATACTACTTGAAATGAATTCATCTAGGTAGCATAAGTGAGGCTTTAAGAACATTATTCCTTTCTCTTAGCATTAGTTGGGGAAGGTAGACCATTTCTGTTTACTTATTTTTACAAAAGGATTCAAGCCCACGGTCGTGTTGTTTTATGGATGGTTTGTCTCTTCTGATTTGAGTTTTTCTTCCATTTTTCCCTTTCTTGTGTGTGTCTTGGACACTTTACAAGTGATTCCATTTTTATTCATCCTCATTCTTTTGGAACATCTCTTTTCTTGCCTTTCCAGTGACTGCTCTGTATTATACAATATGCAGGGTGCAGCTCATTAGACTTCGTGAATACCATTTTCCGCATGAAGTGAGGTACAGGTACGTTACAAACATGTAGGATTCTTTTTTCTCCTCCTGCACAACACAGTTGTTTTAAGTGTTACCTTTAGGTGCTCTGAAAACCACATCAGACAGTATTTTAATTTGCTTTTAAATGCCAAATGCAACTTAGAGCTCAGAGTGTGTTGCCTTTGCTCCTGACTCATTCTTTCTATGCCCCGCCCATTTCTGATGTTTCATTGTATAACTTCCTTTCTGACCTAAAGCACTTTTCTTTAGCTATTCTTTCAGAGAAGACTAGGGTGAAAGAAGTTTCTTAGCTTTGCTGGATCTCAGGTTGATTTCCTCCTTCATTTCCAGGGTCTTTCCCTTGCATTTAGGACACTGGAATGGCCATCTGCTGCTCTAACATTTTTAGATGTGTTCTCATTTCTTCTTGCCGCCATGGTTTCTGAACAGAAATCTTTTGCAATTTTCCCATAAATGAAATGTTTTTCTTTCTGCTTTCAAGAGCTTTTCCATGTTTTTAGTTTTCATATTTGATTGTGGTAAGTTTTGCTTCATTTGGGTTTTTTATGCTGTTTGGGATCTTCATGTATTTTGCCAGACTGGGAAGGTTCAGCCATTCTTCAAATATTTCATCATTCACACATTTTTTTTCCTATTTTCCTGGACATTTGGATGCTTACAGAACAGCTGTGACCTCCCAGGTGTTGGATCTTTGCTGTTGCCACTCTGCCTTCTCTGTGCTGTGCAAGTTGGGTACCAGCTCTTGACCTCGCTGCACTTCCCATGATGCTCTTGCATCACTGCTGTGCTGCTGAGCTCTTCTGTATGGGGTGTCTGTTTAATTTATTGCAGTTTTCTGTCCTAAAATCTCCCCTTTTTTCTGTTATATTTTATTTCTTTTTTAAGATTTCATATTATTTGGGGTATTTTTATAACGGCTGCTTTAAAATATTTCATTATCCTGTAATTCCTCAATTGGTGTCATGTCATTTAACTTGAGATTCTCCTGGTTCTTGTTAGGGTGAATAATTTTAGTAGCTATTGCAGAAACGTGTACAACTTATGCTGGACACTAGCACATCTTTTCTTTGCAAAGGTAGCCTTTGGAGGTTCTCAATACCCACTTTTGTTGTCCAAATGTAAATTTTCGTTGTAAACGTCTACAGTGTGAATCTTGGTGATTCCAGTTTGTATTTATCACACTCACAGGAAATTACCCCACAGTCTCATCAACATAGCCTGGTAAGAAGGAGGATGGCACAAGGCCCCATCAGAATCAGGCAGCCACACCTCATTAAAGATGGATGGAAGTCAAAGATCTGCCAACATCTGCCTAATGGGGAAGAGATGGTCTTATAGCTGCAAGAGAGGGGTGAAAGTCAGAGTTCTGTCCCAGTCTCCTTTGGCGTTCTCTTTATAGTAGTTCAGCTCTGGTAGTCATTTCACAGACTCAGCCTAGGAAGAAGACATAGGTATTTCAAGTGACAACATTTCATCAATTATCCCCACTATTACAGCTCCTGATATGGTTGAAGAGAGTCCCACCATTAAAGTGCTCAATACCAGCACAAAGAAGCAGGAAGACAAAGATATCTCTGTCCTGCCAGGCTGAACTTTTCATGGTTTCTGGCCAAAGAGATTGAAGTCTGGTTGGAGTTTTATGTCTGTCAAATGCTATCATGATTATCAAGAGTAAAAAGAAAGGCTCTTGTTTGATCTTAAGTGACTTAAAATATTTTCTGTATCCTGTTTTACTACAAAGTTAGATATTACTACAGAGGCTTAGTGACCTGCCTGATGTCACACCAGTGGAAGTGAAGAAAAAGAACTGGAATCTTCTTTCCGTCCAGTGACTATTTTCATCCGTTTACTTTGTACTTTTTGTTGCTTTGCATTTTGATATTTCTGGGCATGAACACATGGAGTTAAGTGTTATAATTTAAGCATGAATAAAATTTAATTCTTGCCATTGAGGAGCAATATGCACTAGCTAGCCACCCTTCCCTCTGGGTTTATGTCCCTCTTCGCTCAGTCATCATGACAGGCACACCTTACCCATCATCTGATACCACGTCCATTTTCCACTGAGTGAACTGAGGAAAACAGTAATACAATTTGCTGATGTTGTTCACAGAGGTAGTGATAAAGGCTTGAACACAACTTGGTTTGACATAATGCTTATTCTCTGTATATGCTACCTGGCTCTTCATGGTGGAAGTAGCAGGTGTTTATTCACGAATTAGTTAGTCAATAGACACTTTGTGCTTACCATGACAGGCACAATACAAGACAGTCTTTGATCAAATAGGTTGTACAGAATCCGGTAACCAATTGTGATATTAGAGGAACTCACAGTGGGTGGGAAGTTCTGGGACATCCTCTGGTAGAATGGTGGAATAAATTGGGCTGTGTTTAAAAGGAATACTTGAGAAGTGTCTAGTGGAGTGAAAAAATTAGGCATTTTAAATGGGGAAAGGGCATGAGTTAATGAGAGGACAGTGAAGAACCTGGCCTCCTTGTTCAGCATGTGGGGGACTGTGATTCCCTAAAACCTCACAGTTTCTCAGTTTCCTCTAGTGTAGCTCACTGAATTCTTATAGGAACATTATTTTTAAAAAATATTTATTTAATTTTGATTTATCTGTTTCTGTATTTGTGTGTGTGTGTGTACATGCACCTGCAGAGCCCAGAAAAGGGTGTAGGAACCTCTAGACCCAGCGTTACAGACAGTTGTGGGCAACCTGATGTGGGTGCTGGGAACTGAACTCTGGTCCTCTTCAAAAGCAGCACACTTTCTTAACTGCTCTGCCATCTCATCTGCCCTGGAACATTCTTTGAAGAAGAGAAGGTCTCATAAGTCTAAAGTGGGAATGTGGTACACAAGTTAGATATTAGTATGCACTCCAAGTTGGTTGTAATATGGTACCCCAAAATACTATGGCATAAGCAAGATTAGAATTTATTTCCATTTCACAATGTTCTTGAGCTCTGCAGACCAGCAGTTCAAGATATGGAGACTTCTTTATACCATGAGCTCCTTCAAAAAGTGCATTTCATTCTGTGTTGTTTCTGGCCCTCTACTAACTCCATTGGTATGGGTTCAGGCCCATCAGGAAGAAGAATTGTCAGGCCAGCAGCTTTGATGACATGTGACCCAGAAAGTATATATATAACCACAGCACCCCTCTAATGGCCCATACCTAAAGCAGTTAGGGGAAAATTGCTTAGGAAATCACATGGCCAGATAGTAGTTAGCTCCATCACTAGGAACAAGAAGGAAAGTGTCCTTACTCCTTCACTAAAAGGTGACATCTGCAGAATGTTTCTCAGAGAGCCCAAACTTTTTTTAAAAGAATACTTTTATTTAATCTTTGAAAACTTCATCATACATTTATACAACGTATTTTGATCATATCCATCTACCATTTACCTCCCTTCAACTCCTCCTAGTGCTCCCTACCCTATCACTCTCCCAATTCATGCCCTTTTGGTGCTATTGTTATTAATAACCCCTGAGTCCAATTAGTGCTGCCTGTATGTGCATGAGTGTAAGAGCATCAGCTGGGGGCATGGGCAACTTACCAGGGTCCGTGTCCCCCAAGGACAGTGACTGCCCACCCTCAGCAACCATCATGTACTGCTATAAGCTCCTTGGCCAAGAGTGCAGCTTCAGGGCCCGTCTCCCATTTGTGCTGAAATTTTGACTGGCTTAATCTTGTGCAGGTCTTTTGTAGGGAACCACAGGTACTGTGAGTTGATGTCTGCTGCAGCCATGTCATAACCAGTGAAAGAGCCCACTAAATCTTTACTGAATCTCAGGCCCTGTATTCTCAATGTGGGGATACTTGATAGGATAATTAGAAGTATAAAATTAGACAATAAATTTCAAGGCACTACCAGGATACCTACTACATACTTGATGTTCCTTTCTTTTTATCTTCTTTTTAATAATCTCTTCTTTAAAAACTTCCATTAGCAAACTTCAGGGAAGCTTATTGCATACCAAGAATTATTTATGACACCTGGCTGCTGGATGAGCCCATCCGCCCACTTTCTGGGCTCTGTTCCTCCATCTCTTTGGTGCTTCCTTTACCCTCTTCTAAACTACATTCTTTAATGTATAAACGGCAATGATAATCTTATTAGTGGTTCTCTTATCATAGTTATTTATGACAACAAACCTAAGGATGGAAACCAGTAACATTTTATACTTTGTAGATTTGGAAACTGAGATACAGAAAGTGTCACTGACCTTCCCCTAAATCACACATGTAGTAAGCAGAACCAGGATTCAAGCAGGTTGGATGTCTCTCAACTCAAACTCTTGAGCCGCCCACTACGTCAACTCTTATTCAAACCTTTCAGGCTTCTAACTGGAAACCAAGTTCACCTATTGTACCTGGTGATGAGGCTCCTCAGCCTAGAGGGTACTTAGCAGCCTTGCTAACTATCTCACTTGTCACTGAGTAGCTGTTTCTTTTAGGAGTCTATCCCTGCCCCTCCTCCTCTCTGTGCTAAGCTTACTTCATCAAATAATTGATAAGACACAGTGGTGATAATAAGAATGGACTTTTGCCTTATGCTGCATTGAGTTGTGAATCTCTTGAAGTTGAAGACATTCTGAACTTCTTAGCACCAGACATTGACTTTTGTTTCGGTGGTGATGCCAAGGAGAATTGAGGACCTTGGTTTAGTCCCTAGAACCTACAAAAAATGCTGGGTGTGAGAGCATGCATTTACAATCTCGGTGCTGGAGAGGAGAAGACAAGCAAATCCCAGGCGCTCTTTATCCAGCCAGCCTACCCTATTCAGTAAGCTCCAGGCCAATGAGGGACTTTGACTCAAAAACAAGATTTGGGGAAGGTAGGGGAAGAATTGGAGGGGAAGGGATTGGGAGATGGATTTGATCAAAACATGTAAGGCATGTATGACATTCTCAAGCAATTATTTTTAAAATTTTCTATTGTGCTTTTGTACATTTCATATAACAGTTTTTAATCAAACTTAGACCACCTCCTGCATCCATGCCCCCACAAATCCTCCCACCTGCTGATCCTCCTGCATTCCGCCATATGTATTAAGTCCTATCCTGTCAAGCATTTGTACCCGGATGTTCTTCACTGCTAGTTCATTCACTGGAGTCTACTCAGCCTATCTAGAGATTGTAAGTAGGTTCTATTCTCCCTCTTCCATTAGTAACCAGTCTTGAACAGTCCCAAGGCTAGGGCTGGCCCATTGCCCATTTCCCTTGCTCCACTCTGAGCCCTTGTCTGATTGAATTTGCATGGGTCTTGTGCTTGATGCCACCATTGCCACAAGTTCACATGTGCAAGCTTCCAATGGTCTGAAAGCCTCTCTTTCCCTATGTTCATGGACTAATCGTGGCTCTTACAGTCTTCTGCCCACTCTTCCTCCACGGTCTCTAAGCTGTGGGTGGGTGAGGTTTACTATGGAGTCCTATTCAGGGACACATATTCTGCATCCACTTATTCTCTAAAACTTGGCTAGTTGTGGTCTTCTGTGTGCATTGCACTCTGTTGTATAAAGAAGTCAAGCAGTTATTAAAAAGTGGACAGCTCTTGAGAATGACCCCTGATATTGACCTCTTGACTCCAGGTGTTTATGTACACAGGTGAACACACATGAACACGTGCAAATATCAAAAGAAAAATGCTAAACCTCAAGGCAACAGAGAGCATTTAATTCTTTGCCCATTAGGAACACACATACACACATGCACGCACACACAGCTGACTACACAGTACTGTAAGAATTCGGACTGATAGACCCGTAACCTACCATTGGTGGGAGAGTTGATTGATACATTTTTTTCTCTCTGGTTATCTTTGTTCTGTTTCTTCTTATGTTTAAAACTGTAGATCAGTGAAAGCTCTTTCAAGTTGGCATTGCTGATCTTGGTAGTTCGATGCCTTGGCTCACTAATCCTCGGCTTCTAATTTCTCTTTATTCTAAACAGTCTGTGGCACCTTCATTTTTCATACTACATTTGGGATTTCATGCTTATTAAATTTCTTATCTATTGTTTTTCTTAATTTTTATCTCTTATTTCATCCATTGTTGTTTTCCTATTATTATTATTTACAATTTTAGGCCTGTTTTAGCCTTTTGGGCCATATTCTTTTTAACCATTTTGGTTTTTATTTTAGTTTCTTAAATGACTTACTTAGTGTTGTATAGGGAAAATATGCCCTGCCTTGTGACATACTCCCAGATATCTTCTGGGTCATTTAACCCACGTAAGGAAATGATCAGGCAGAAGTTGTACATTTGAGAATTGTATGATAGAGCTCCAGGAAGTCAGTTGACCTGCCCATTTTCGCTTGGTTGACAATAAAACTTACTGATCCAACTCATTGAAGTAGAAATATATATGAGCAGAGACTTGGTAAAGAAGAAATTTACCTCAGTCAGTAGATTTAAAGTGCTGAATCCCTTCCCAAGCACAAGCAGAGACTCTAGGTAGTATCACTGCCAGTCAGGAGCCACTTAACTTAAACCAGATTTTCAGTTGTTCTGAGACATCTTTGTTGAATATCATTAATAAAAATAGAAATCCTTCTTGTAAGGCCTAACAACTCATCCAGGCATACATGAAGATGAAACCTTAGAAATTTGCTTGATTTGTATGTACGCATACTGCCACGTGACACAGAAAAAGACATACACTTATCGACTCAGTCCTTATAAGTGAAAGAGGACAGATTATTCTAGAAATGAATGAAGTTAACAGAGGGCTCTTGATAAAAAGCAGCAGAAAGACTGAGTGTGGTCTTTACCTTTGATGTGGGTGCAAGAATCTGAGATGAGACCAAATTGATAGGGTGAAATAGGTTCATGGCTGGGATCAGTGTGGTGGGGTGTGTGTGTGTGTACGAAGGTAGGGATGGGAAAGAAGACCATAGTTATGTGCAGGAATTGGGTCCTTTTGTTTGATACCATGGCTGCAACAACATAGGACCCAGGGACACAAAAGGCACTCGAGCACACAGGTAGAAGGAATTTGGTACTGATCACACTGCCATTCAACCCATTTTGCACAGAATTTCACATTCCACATCTTCATGGACTCCCCACTCTCTTTCACTTTCCTGTCTCCTTCTCTCTTCCAACTTCTCTCCCCTGACCCTTGTACCTACTTTCACTCTGCAGCTGTCACTAAAACCAAGATCTCGTGACTGAAGAGATGGCTCAGTGGTTAACAGCACTGGTTGCTCTTGCAGAGGACCCATGTTTGGTTCCCAGCACCCAATGGTGGCTAACAACAGTCTGTAGCTCTGGGTAGACAGATGTCTTGATTTACTAAAGAAATCCACACAAGGGATGTCAAGCACGCACACTCCTTGACCATGTCGCCTGCTTTCACTAGATTCGAAGTTTCTTCGGGTTAGAGAACTTGCTTATTTGCTGGCAGAGCCTCATGCCTTCCCCTCAGGATACATGGCACATGCACACTTGATTCAGATTGACTCATAGTAAATAGTAATGATTTTTTTAGGCAGAAAATCCCATTCTTGAAGTGAGTTTGAGTTTTGTGCACAGGAGGACAAAAAATTTTCAGGAACATTTCCATAAACCAAAGTGTACCCCTCCACATACATGAACATGCAGACCTCTGAAAACAAGTCTCATTAGCTATACACATGTATGCTTACCATCACTGGACATACAGGCATGGACACGCTCAACTGTGACTACTGAAATATTTTTCAGTTTGTGAAGAAATACGGGAATGTGTTCAGCCTGGACTTCGGTGGCATATCTTCAGTGGTTGTAACTGGACTTCCCCTAATCAAAGAAGTCTTCACTCATATGGATGAAAACTTTTTGAATCGCCCCGTCACCTTTATCCGAGAACGTATCTTTAATAACAGTGGTAAGTTTCACACACAACATTAATCAGAGTTGGTTATAAAAAGAGATGTGAAGTTGAGAGGAGATGGGAGACGTTGTGGGGGTTCAGGCGACCTACAGGGAAGGAATAAGGATGAATATAACAAAGATAAACAGGGTCTTTGGAGAACTGAAAGACATCCAGTGTGGCAAGAATGCTGTTTAAAAGACATAACAAAGTGGACACAAAGCCGCCTTCTCCTCTCCATCAGTTCACATGTCCATACAGTTCCTCAGGTACTTTTATTCAATAATTATAATGTGATAATGTTGAATTTCTTTTTTCCAGGATTGATCATGTCCAATGGCCAGACGTGGAAGGAGCAAAGACGGTTCGCCCTGATGACACTGAGGAGCTTTGGGTTAGGAAAGAAGAGCTTAGAGCAGCGCATTCAGGAGGAGGCCCACTATCTTGTGGAGGCCATAGGAGAGGAGAAAGGTGGGCATTTCCTGGGGTATGTGCAGGGTGTTATGGTGCATTCATTCATTAAACAAATACTTATTAAATACTTAAATGCTTGTCTTGGACTCTGAACTGTGCTAGGCACTGAAGATTTAATGGTGAACCTCCAGGCATGACCTTGTCCTAGGAGTGCCACGGCTAATCACACAAAATAGGTCATTAAAAACATTACTGAATTTACAGCGTGGTTATCAATCTGACTTCCCAGGCATTGACAGAGCCCTTGGGAGTACCCAAATCCCATGGAGGGTACTGTGGCTAGAAACTCTCATATGGTTCTCATGTATGTTTTATGTCATACAGAGTTGAATCTTTGTGGAAAATAGAAACAAACCAATATCTTTATCTCTTTCTTTCCCATCTCCAGGACAGCCTTTTAACCCTCATTTCAAGATCAATAATGCCGTTTCCAATATCATTTGCTCATTCACCTTTGGGGAGCGCTTTGATTACCACGACAGTCAGTTTCAGGAGCTGCTGCGGTTACTGGATGAGACTGTATGTTTGGAGGCCTCAATGATATGCCAGGTAAGCAATCTTCTTCACATATCTTAGGAGGATAATGGATGAACTGGGGCTGATTCAAACATAGATAGGTTCTTCCATTTGGTTTTGGTTTTTGAAACTGATATATAATGTCTTAACATTGAGTTTGATGCAAATTTATTTCAAACCCATCTGTTAACAGACTTTGATGTTTTTGATACTCTAAGAAATCTCTCTTCCTGTCTCAGAGGCATCTTTTGAGTTTGCTTTTGAGCTCATCAGCTTGTTTTAAGATTCTTTTTTATACACTGTTCTTGATTAACTACAGACTAACATTGCACTGCCTGAATGTGTCATCATTTTATCCATATTTAGACATTTGTGTTGTTCCCTGATTTGGGATGCTATGAATCACACTGCCACAGATATTCTAGTATCAGTATTCATTTAAACATATCCATCCCTCTGTCTTGTATGTGCATCTAAATGTAACTAAAGATTCAGAACTGGGCTCTAGATAGATGGGTCAGTGGCTAAGAGCAGTTGCTGTTCCTGTAGAGAAACAGAGTTTTGGTCCAGCGCCCACAACTTGCAGCTCACAGCCACCTCTAACTCTAGTTCCAGGAGGTTCAGTGCCCTTTTCTGGCCTCTTGGCACCCACCAGCATGCGTGCATATACATATATACATAAATAACAAATAAATGTTAAAAATGATTTAAAACTGATGTATTGTTTACATATTCATAAACACTTGATATGATCAATTTTCTAATACTATAGCATAAAACCTTTCACCCCCAGCTATTCCCCAGTTCATGTACTTTAATCCTTGGTGTCTGTCAAACATTCCCCACAGCTTCCTGGCCTGTCAGTCATATTCCTGAATATGGAAGACAGTTCCAGGGGAAAATGATCTCTGTGTACTTTAATCACCTGTCTAGGTTTTCTTCTTCTCCTAGGCCTGTCTCAGAAGTCAGCTCACTACTTTGATAGATACATATATGCAGTCGTGTGTACACATTTGTATATTTTTTAAAATTTTTATTCCTTTTTAGCGTGTGTGTTTGTGTGTGTGTGTGTGTGTGTGTGTGTGTATGTGTTTGAGTGGACACATAGTAGAGTTCAGGGAACAGCTTTCAGAACTAGAGTCTCTCCTTATACTGGGAATCGAACTCATTTTATCTGGCTTGGCCTCAGGTGCCATTACCCACTGAGCTATCTCTATGACCCCCACCTATGAATTTTTTTATCATGGTGTTCTTAGGAGAAGGTTCAGCCTTGAATCACTCAGCCTGTCATATTAAAATGTTTAAATTCCTTCAATTAACAAAAAAGCACTTTTAGTTTTGAAAGTTGCAAGCATATAAAAAGTAGAGAAAATATAATCAGAAATCACTATACATTTATCAGTTCCAACATAATCAATTGTACTTCACCCTTTTCCAACTACTGCCTCTGACCTGAAATTGTGGAGCAAATTACAGACATCTAAATTGTAACTGCACTGATTAGACTATGTAATGGACTAAATTTACCTTCTAAGAGAGTAGTTTTATATACTGTCCATTTTATGTCTGTCAACTTTTAATTTTACTTTTTTTTTTTGGTCATTTTGAAACAGGGCCTCAGCCCCAGCTGGCCTGGAACTCACTATGTAGACCAGGTTTGCTTCAGAGATCCCCATGCCTCTGCCTCCTGAGTGCTAAGGCTAATGGCGTGCAGCACCATGCCCAGCTTACTTCATATTTTTAAAGATAGTTTTTAGGTTGGTATACAATGTAATGGGTTTCACCATGACACCGTCATACATGTGTCATTGTAATTTCTCCTGTTTTCTGTGGTTATCAGTTTCTCTGTGGTGCAGAAGCAGATGTAGTTTTCACTTATTTCCCAAAGTACTTTTTCCTGGGGCTTTATATATGCCCTCACCCAAAACTGATGAATTGGTTAGCATAATTTCTAAAAATTAAAAAGGGCATAAAGAGTGAGATCTAGTACTGTAATTATCTAAGTTACTTTGTGAAAGTTCATCTCTATTAATTTTCAGAGTAATACTGTAAAGATGAGGTGATGTGATATGGTGTGAGCAGGTGGTACAGAAGTGTGTAAGCAAATACAGATAGCGGTCCGCCAGACCACTGTTGAGTGCTGTGTGTCTCTCATGTCCTTCAGTGCCCAGATATGGGGACCTCACCAACAGACATTACATTATTAATGTTACCTATTAATAATATTACATTATTATTATTATCACTGTTACCAAAATATTACAACTTATAGCTAGGAGGCAGCAGAGGTAACAATCTTACCTGAGTCTGTCTCATTTTAGTTCCTACTAATTGGACACCATGTTATGCTAGTTACATAGCATATTTTAAACTTCACTTCACATACAGTTCCGTAAAGATTGAAGTCTTACCCATATGGAAATTAAGTCATGGTAGGAATGCCATCATGTGTAGTTACTTGCACAAAATATATTAGTGATAATTTTTCTGAGGGAAAAAATAAATCATGACAAAAGCTTAGAGATAAGGTGAAAACACTACCATCAGATAAAACAACTTCAAGTGTATGGCATTCAAAAGCCTGTTCAGGAAGCAAAGGATGGGTTATGCCAGTTTCAGAGGGGCTTTCTTGGCAAAATGTGTAGCTGCAAAGGCCTAGAACAGGAATGCCCTTAAAATGATCACAGAGGCCACTGGGGTTGGATTATGTAGAGAAACAGGGACAAAAGTCTGAGCATTGAAAGGACCGATCTCTCTAGAGCTGGCAGGCATAAAGCATGATGCACCACTTTAAATAGAGTGGAGATCCTTTGAAGATTGAAAGTGAAGGAGTGAAGCCATGCGATTACCCTGGTAAGTGTTCTTTCTGGAAATTATTTGCAAAATGGTCTGTGATGGTGTTGAGAATGAAATCAAGACAATGTTGAATGCCAACATTGAGATGGGAGAGGTGATGGTGTCTACTAGGGAACAAACAGATGGTGTAGTGGGAAGGGCTTTGATGCTCAGTAAATTATGGAGGAGTTGAAATGCCTACCAAGGGGTTGAGAGAGAAAACTGGAGTCAAGATTGCCCCACGGTTTCACTAGAAGAAACCAAAGAGGGAAAAACAAGACTATGAAGTATGGAAAAGTGATGCCATGGTGTCTTCTGAACATTTTCTTTCTTCCAATTAGCTCTACAATGCCTGTTCATGGATCATGAAATATCTTCCTGGACCCCATCAAACAATTTTCACAAACTGGGAAAAACTGAAATCCTTTGTTTCTCATATGATCGACGATCACCGGAGAGATTGGAATCCTGATGAGCCAAGGGACTTCATTGACGCTTTCCTCAAAGAAATGACAAAGGTGGGAAGGTGCCGCCCGCGTCTTATTGCAGAAGAAGTGGTGGTTTAATAGTTTCCAGTTCATCCTGCAGCAGGGTACCACAGTGTTAGGGGTTAACACAACACAGCTTTACCTCTCACAGTTCTGGATCATCCCCACAGTCCTGTTCACCAGGCCAGATTATTTTGGTGAGTATGGAAACTCCATTACCATGCCTCTCCCAGCTTCTAGAAGACACTGGTGTCATTTACTGTGGCCTCTTCATCTATCTTCAATAGATAGATGCCAAGACTGCAGCATCTCGTTCCTCCCTAATCCCTGCTTCCATCTTCACATCTCATTCCTCACAACTCCTCTGATAAACAAAATTCAGGGTAATCGCCTCTCAAAGTAATCCCATCTGCAAAGTGTATTTTGGCAAGTTGCACAGGGATGAAGATGTGGACATCTTCACAGATCACTGTATAACACAGCCCCAGGGAAGTAAAAACAAAGAGCAGTGTTTGAGAAGTATAAGGTGGCACCAATTCAGGATTGTTGATGGGTTTGCTGCCTTTGGCTTGAGGCCCTGACAATCCCTTTACTGCCTATTCCCCTGCCCTATACTCATATCAGAAGGAGCTGAACATGAGTTGGTCTGGGGACAGGTACCTACTGCATCTCAAGTCTCACTGCAAGACACAAGCAAAATTCAGCTTTCTAAGTACTGGGGTATAACTTTAAGGTCTGTATGGGGGCATATGCCTCCCCCTGCCACCCATATCCACACCACCCAATGATAGAGAGAGGAAGACGGCCTAAGGGGATGCGTCAGTTGCTCTTCCATTGCTGTGATAATGCATAGCAGAAACAATTAACGGTTCCAGAAGATCTCAGTCCATCGTGATAGAAAAGGAATGGCAGAGAGGCTCATGGTGATAGAAGTGTGTGGTAGATCAAGAAGCAGAAAATAAAGCAGGAGCCAGGGGTTTCTTATCACCATAAAAGTCTCACTCCTCGTGACCTACTTCCTACAGCTAGGCCTCAAACATTCCAGAGTCTCCAAAACACCACCAGCAGCCAGGAACCAAGCATTCAAAACACGAGCCTGTAGGAAACATTTCAGATTTGAACCATATCTCTAAGTGTACTAGTTCAATCTCGCTAGTCCTCTGCTTCATACACATCACTGAATCAGTCAGATAAGCTTCTACTCATTGGATCATGGGTTTCTCCTCTGATGGGGCATATTGATACATTTCTTGCCATCTTCTCTCTTACTTCATCTTCTTGGCATAATACTGATAGAAGCAATGTTTTATCCCCAGAGAAGGAGGCAAATCATTTGCCATATGGTTTGCAGTCATCAACATTAAGATCAATATTTACAAACTGAAGCTTCCAGAATAAGTTGGCAAAGATGTTGTATCATAAAGAATGTTTTCTAGTATCACATGTTTTAACTATGAAAGATTAATGGGAAGAAAGGAGGATCAGTAAACAGAGAATTCACCTTTTCTTTCTAGAGTCAGCAAAAGCATTTGTTGAGTGTTTGTTAAATGTCTCCTGTACCTCACACAATTCTACTGACATGTTAAAATGTATGAGTTATTCTCATTTTATAATCAGAAAGAGAGACATGAAGTGAGCACCCTTGTCCATGTATTGATTTGTGATGTGATTGATACTGAAGATCAGATATTGGTTTTTTTTTTTTTAATTCCAGTTTCTTCCCATCATACTAGAAGCTTTTCCCAAAATGTAGTCATAAGTCAGTAGTTAAGAGCAGATGACCTAGGTTCGATTCCCAGCACCCACAGATGGCTAACAACTGTCCTTAACTCCATTTCCAGGGGATCTGACACCCTCTTCTGGCCTCTTCAGAAATTGCATGGCATGGGTGCACTTACATACATGCAGGCAAAACACTCATAAACAAAATAAAAATTAATTAATTTAAAAAATTGGAGACAAAAAGAGTTATCTTCTTTTTAACCACCCCCCAAGTTCAAGAAGTTTTGTTTTTTGATGGTAGTGGTTTTTTGTATTTTGTTTTTGTTTTTGTTTAGAGACTGTATTTCCTTGCAGCCCCAGCTGACCTGGAACTCTCTATGTAGATCAGACTGGCCTTGATTGCACAGAGATCTGCCTGCCTCTGCCCCCTGAGTGCTGGGATTCAAGGTGTGCACCACCAGCCCAGCATTTTAGAAACTTTTAATCAGCCTCCAGCACTTGGACAGGATAATGCTTCCTGAAGATGCCAAAGTGAATAGCGGTTTTTGTTGTTGTTGTTGTTGTTGTTGTTGTTGTTTTGTTTGAGACAGGGTCTCCCTGTAGCCCCAGCTGGCTTGGAACTCACTATGTAGACCTGGCTAGCCTCTGCTTCCCTAGTGCTGGGATTAAAGGCATGCACCACCACACTCAGCCTTGAATATCATTCTAAATGACTCCTCTGAATTCAGATATGAGGGTGAAGAAGGCCCTGGGTATCAGCCTCCAGCACTTGGGGCAAGATAATGCTCATGTAGTAGTTGTTCCATAAAGACAGCAAAGGGACTATTATCTTGAATGACTTGTTCCAAATTCATTCCTCAGGGCGACAAACCTGTGTTTTGAAAAAAAATCATAAATCCTCTGAATAAACAAGTACACGCTGTCTTTCCTAGAACCCAGACAAGACCACTACAAGCTTCAATGAAGAAAACCTCATCTGCAGCACACTGGACCTCTTCTTTGCTGGAACAGAGACAACATCGACTACACTGCGTTGGGCTCTGCTGTACCTGGCCCTCTACCCAGAAGTCCAAGGTGAACATGTGGAATGTACTGGACAAGGCAGAGTGGTGCTTCTGGAAGCTGTGGTTAGGAAAGTGTCCGAAAGGGGTTGGAGAGATGGCTCAGTGGTTAAGAGTGGTTTTAATGTAGTTACAAAGCAGATTTGAAACATAATACAGAACTCAGGATACAAACACTTAAGTCATAGGATAAAGCAACATATAAGGAAGTGAATAAATTGCTTTGGGAAGACTGAATTTACAAAGCATTTTATATAGAACATCTTGAACAGTCTTGATCATCTTTAAACCCCTGTCCCCTCTGGCACCCTCTGTAGCTGTCTCACTGGAGCCAATATACTCTGTCATCCCTGTTAAGGCCCACTGTGCTGTCAGTGTCCCCGGCTGTTCCTCGGTACAAGTCCATCCACTGAGTCTAGTCAGCCTATCTAGAGTACTTTATTTTAGGAAGATCAGCTCTTTTTCATTTAGTAGCAATCGGTTGCCAACATTCCTTCAGATAAGATTGAGATCTGCTGTTCATTTTCCCAGTTCTATGCTGGGTTTTAGTCTGCCTGAGTTTGCACGGGACTTGTGTATGCTGACACCATTGCCCTAGAATCGTATGAGCAGGTTCCCAGGAGCTTGTAGGACTGTTTCCATATGGTCCTGCACCTCTTCCCTGGCTCTTACAGTCTTTCTGCCCCCTCGTCCACAATGCTCCCTGAGCCTTGGGGGGGGGGTGAAGTTTAATAAAGGGGTCCTGAACGCACCGATCTTGTCTCATCCTATCATTTTTATTCCTTAAAATTATAGAAGAGTTCAGCAGGTGGAGGATAGGAATATTTTTCATGTCATGGAAAGTTTTATCCAATTGTGGGTAACAGTTTGTTAATGAGGCACATAACCCTTTTAATATAATCAGGCCAACTATTTTTGCCCTGAAAATGGAATAGAGATCAGAATGCTTTCCATGTGATAAAGACAACTTTGTTAATAAACTTTATTTTGTGTGTGAGTGTTTCTGTGTGCTTATCTGTCTATGAGTGTGAGTGTGCATCTGTCTGTGAGAGTGATTCTGTGTGTGTGTGTGTGTGTGTGTGTGTGTGTGTGGCTGTCTGTGACTGTGAGTGTAAATGTGTGTGTGTGTTTATCTTTGAGTGTGTATCTGTATGTGTGTATCTCTCTGTAAGCATAAGTGTGAGTGCAAGTGTGTGTGTGTGTGTGTGTGCCCACCCATGTGAAAGCCATAGGACAACCTCACGTCTGATTCCTCAGCACCATTCACTTTTTGAGGCAGGCACTTTCCTTGGCGTGGAATTTTCCAAGTACACTAAGCTGTCTGGCCACTGACCCCAGAGATCTGCCTATCTCTGCCATTCAGTACACTGGGATTATTAGCACAGGCCACCATGCCCAGACTTTGTGCATGAATTCCGAGAATCCCACTCAGGTCCTCATGCTTACAAGACATGCACTTTAACAACTGAGCTATCTCTTCAGCCCAAACTTTTTCCTTCAGTGCATATTTATGTTAATCTATTTTTATGTATATGCATCTTGAATCACAATTTAAATGCATTTCTACCTGCAGATTGACTTTTTTTTAAGTTTAAAGCCTATGGAATTACAATACAGATTTGATTTCTGGAACAGAGACTCTAAAATATCTATATATTCACATTTTAGAAATTATACGCATATTCGTTTTGCCGTGTGCACAGTAGTCCAGAGATGGGAGTGTCAGACTTCACGGATCATAAATAGATTAAGCATGGAACATACATGAGATAGAGAGGCAATTCAGTCATGAGGGAAAGAAGTTCTAGTGAGTGTTCTAGCATAGGTGAACTTTCAGGACACTGTGCCAAGTCAAATCACAACTGTGATTTATATTACCAGTCACAAAATCACAAAAACTGCTCTTTTCCAACTCAAGTGAGTTATCTAGAATAATCAGATTTCTAGATACAGATGTTGAATGGGAGCATGAGAAAGCAGGACTTGTTTGACATAGAATTTCAGATTTTCAAGATAAAAATGTTCTGGCAGTTACATCCACAATATAAACATATTTGTCATTATTGAAATTATACTCTTCAGTGTTAAAAATATCTGTGATTGGTGGCCTATGCCATTAATCAGGCAGGGAAAAAGTTTCTCTTTATAACAAGGACACAGGAAAGCATTGTCATCTGTAAGGCAGAAAAATTCTTCTTTACCAAGCAATAAATCGTGGATGCCTTGATTGTATTTTTCCTGGACTGTAGGACAAAGCTACATTTTTGTGATTTATAACCAGTCACTGAAAGGAACCTATTTGTAGAAGCCTGGGTATATACTGCTATGAGCTTATCCATGGTGATTGTGATCGGGTTTATCCAGTTTGATTGGTAGACAGATAGATTAGATAGATAGATAGATAGATAGATAGATAGATAGATAGATAGATAGATAGATAGAAACTTATGGCTATGTTGTAGGCTCAACAAAAGCTATAGAGTTGACAGTTTTCCAAAGCATTCCTTTTAAAGGTTAAGGAAACTTTCATTTCTTTTTAAGAACACAAAATGAAATAAAAACAGGTAAGGTCTTGGAGCCTATTTCTATATCTATAGCAGGAAGCATTAAAGCTTAGAACTTAGTGGTACCTCCTGTTTTCTTCCAGAAAAAGCACAGGATGAGATTGACAGAGTGATTGGTCAGGGGAGACAGCCCAGCCTGGGCGACAGAGAGTCCATGCCCTACACCAATGCTGTCATCCATGAGGTGCAGAGAATGGGCAACATCATCCCCTTGAATGTTCCCAGGGAAGTGATAGCTGATACTACACTGGCTGGTTTCCACTTGCCAAAGGTAACTAGATATTGCTAGCCTCAGATCCTCCAGTCCATCTTTGACATCATCTTCTGAACCTAAACTGAGAAAGTCACATGGTTTTCCGTCCTGAGAAATCATTTCACTGGGGAGATATGATTCCTGACAAAATATGAATTTCCCTCCAAGTGTCTAAGTAATATGTATGTGTATAGTGGGAAGTGGAGAAGGGAAGTTTCAGCGGTCAAATATGTATAGTCAAAGCTTGGTTGTGTGAATGTGGGCACACAGCAGGCAGCAGTGTGCTGTCAGATGTCTGAGAGAGCAGCTCTCAGGACAAGGTTTCTGTTGGGCTTAGTTTAGGAAATTCTTCACAGTCTTCAAAATACAGGATTTCTAAATGTGAAAGACATTTGAGGCACCTGGATTAACTGGATTAACAGTGAGGCTGGTGTCTCTAACACTGTGACCCCACAGGCATATTTCCAGTTTTTATTTAAAGGCCATGATTGGAAGCTTTTATCTCACAAAGAAAGCCAATATAAAGTACAATATTAATTATTAGACAGGGAGACAATACAGCACATAGTTACTAAGGAATCATCATGTGTTGTAGACCTGGCTTCTTTCAAAATGTCTTATTCCTTTTTCAGAATTACTGTGAATCTCCAATTTATATACTGGAAATTTGAGGCTCAGGAAAATTAAGTTTGCGTAAGATCTCTCTACTACAATGTGACAAGAGTTGAAGTCTGGAATGGAACCTATTCTGATGATTTGTACTGCCCCATGACCCCACCCCCAGAGGACTTGTATTACTTTGATTTTCCAATCCCTTAACCAGCCATTCCTAAGATCTCTTCACAGCGCTCTCTAGGCCCCTTGTGCCCTCTTTCTTCCCAACACATGATTACAATTCCTTTGATTCTTTCTGTTCACCATGGTGTGAAGCGAAGCTGACTTTTCTTGGCTGTGGCAAAATACCTGAGGCTTCAGTTCACCATGGCAAGGGAGGGTGTGGAAGAGCAGGTCAGTTCACATCAAAGTGGCTTGGAAGCAGAGAGAAAGCCATCAGGAGATCCCTACTACCCTCAGCCATTTTTTTCCCCCAGGCCGTCAACCTCTGGAATAGTGCCATCTACACTCAGATCAAGCCATCTTTCCATAACTAATTCTCTTTGGGAATGTCCTCACACACACTCCCAAAGCTGTGTTACTAATCTCCTAGATACTTCTCAGTTGCTCAAGTTGACACTCAAGATTAACCCCACAGCCAGTCTCTGTGGATCACTTAGTCTTCGTCTTACCATGCTAGGGAACCTGTCAGACTGAGGTTTCTTAACCTGATGCTAAAGGTGTTGTTAAACCAGTGAATTGACTGGTTGCAGATTTTCATACTGGGAGCTGACAGTGAAGAAGCAGAGGTGTAAGACACATCATTTCCCTTTGCAGAGTTACCATGGTCCTCCCTGTAGGAAGTCGCTGAGCTGATGGTTGTTCCCTGTCATGTTATCCTCCCACCCTAGACCTGTATGACCTCTCCTGTAGACTCAATGCATTCTTTGATAAAGAGTTGTCTAGAGGACCTGGAAAGTCTCCAGCAGGCACTTACAGTCCATCACTGTAAATTGATCTGGACAAAGGGAAGGTTCCTGGGGAGCTCAGGGTGTGCACAGGCTCTGGCATGGAAGATTGAGAACCACCACCTTCTACATGGCTGTGTTCTATGCATCAAGCCTTGATTCTTTGCTGCCATTTCTAGGGGACTGCAGTCCTGACCAATTTGACTGCACTGCACAGAGACCCCAAGCAGTGGGCCACCCCGGACACCTTTAATCCAGAACATTTTTTGGAGAATGGACAGTTCAAGAAGAGAGAATCTTTTCTACCATTCTCAATGGGTGAGTTGTGATGAGTAGGAAAGAGATCAGAGCTCCTCCTCAGCCCAACCCTCTTCTCCTCCCTATAGTCCTCTGTTTTGGTTGGAACCTCTCCATCAAGCCCTGCCTACCCAGTGGCTCAATCTTGCTGTTGTTTGCAGCCCAGCATCCCCTGGGCTTGGCACTGCTCCAGGCTACCACATTTCTCAAGCCCTCCCTCACCTTTGATGGGATTTCAGCTTCCCTTGTACTGTTTTCTGTGTACTTTACAAAGAAAGCTGGATACTTGCCATCTTTAGACAGTTTTTAAATGTCCCATTTCTTTTTAATGGATGCATCCTTACAGGGAATAGAGCTGATCTGTAATGGAGAGGAGGTATGGAAGGAGGATACCTACTAACCACAATATGTACGGAAACAATAATTTTAAAAGTCATTTGCTTAACTGAATCAGTAACAACTCCCTGAACATGTACGTCTTTTTTTTCTTTTATCATTTTATTCAGTCTTTAAAAAAACCTAATTAGACTTTTGAAGTTCCTTAATTACATAAATAGGCCTGAACTCTTGTTGTATATGAAACATTCTGTCTCAGAACACGACAATAGTGAGTTAGAAAAACAAAGCAGAGCTGTTTTTTGTAGTCTATGTCATGCTATAGCCTCACGGGCGGGAACCCATCAGCAGTATAGAGATCAGGATGCAGGTGAGCCATCTGTGCTAGAGCTAGAACTCAATGTAAGCCAGATCTTCCCAAAGCTAAACTTGTGCTTGATGACACTGAAGTTCGGGAAGGAAAGAACTAGAATCCCCTAATGTCTATGTCAATACAGAGCCAATGCTTCTCTGGGCTGGCTGCCCTGGCTGTGTCTCAGCAGGAACTGATTCTGTGTTCTTTGTGGTTCCACCTGGGCTTCTCCGTCACCTTTGTTCATGTTTCACAAGTTGCTGTCATGGGAAAGCTGATAAGATATAGGGATCCTTTCCAGTCTCCCTATTCTCAAAAAAAAAAAAAAAGGAGAGAGAGTGAGAGGGTTTTGAATTGTAGCAGTGTGTGTGTGATGGATAACTTTAGTGTCATTTTGACACACCTGGGTTGAGGGAGCCTCAATTAGGGAATTGCCTTCATTGGACTGGCCTGTGGCCATGTCCATGGGGCACCTGCTTAATTGTTTAGTGATGTGGGAGGGCCCAGCCCACTGTGGGTGGTGCCACCCCTGGGCAGGTGGACCTGTGTTGCATAAGAAGGCAGGCTGAGCAGGGGCCAGGGGAGCAAGCCAGTAAGCAGCATTCCTCCATGGCCTGTGCTCCAGCTCCTGCCTC